TCTGTAATTCAAAACGTGGTCCACAGGAAGTGAGGTCACAAAAGCAACACAAACAGCCAGAAGGAGAAAAATCAATGGAGCGAGCTTGGGCAAATGGACCTGTACTGCTGTGATCTCTCCTTTCTCCACAGCACAGCATTAGTTTCCTGGCAGCACTGTTTGTGGCCCTGACTCCTCCAGAAGCTTTTGTGTTGCCATTATCCTCCCTTTCATCTTCACACACCACTCACTCACCAGTGGATCTGGCTGTGGGGAGGAAAGCATTCCAAATTCAGGAGCTGCCTCCACACACCCCGTAACTAGAGGAGGACGGGGGTACACCCCACTGCATCACCCTGTTGAATGAGCTGTCAGGTCACGACGTGGCTTACAACTAGGTACGGTCTTGTGCAGCAGACCCAAGCTATGTTCAAGAGGGCCAAACTCTGCCTTGAAACATCTAGACAACAGCATGAAAGGCAGCACGAATTCTTGTGTGGAAACAGCCTGATGTACAGTGTATCCATTATGCAGACAAACTGTCTAAGTCTTGTCTAAGATGTCCGATTTTATGTTGGCTCTTTGTGATGTGACAGTATACAGGCCAAGCCTTTAATTCTGCACCCGTTTCAGCTAAGACTCTTGGTTCCAAACAAGAAGAAAAGGCAAGCACCTTCTCTGAGGTCTTACAGACTGAAAACAAAGCTTCACTATTACTGAAGACTTTCAGCAAAGCAGGGCTAAAGGGGAGAGCTACGGAATCCTTACAGCCAGCAGCACTGTGACTGACCTTATCTGAAGCCAGGATTCTGAAGGAAGCTATCACTTGCTCAGCCGTGTCCGTGTCTGCTGTTTCTCTGGTCATGAAGTCAATGAAGGACTGGAAAGTGACGGTTCCTTGCCCATTGGGGTCAACCAGAGACATAATTCGGGCAAACTCAGCTTCACCCTTTCACAGAATCCAAAACAAACAAACAAAAAGGGTCACCGTAGTATCAGTCGCCAACAGCCCCTGTCTCTCACGAACCAGCACGCACCAGCTGTTACAAAGTTTTTAAAGCGTCTTCCTGACTTAAGAACATAAATGAAATCTGGGATCTTAAATGCCCACCCCCTTCTATAAAAAGAACTTTTCAAAAATGTATTCTTTGTCCTAAATACATAGGATCTACCTTTCAGTTAACTTTTTGCAGCTTCTCCCCAGTTCCACCCTCCCTCAATGCCTGTTTAATTTGTTTTAACACCTCGTTTTCCACCCCGTTTTAAACCCACTGTAATTTAGGTACCACACAGGGAGGTGGAACAATAGCCCAAGCCCCACTGAACTAAGAAGTAAGGGAAACAGTTCTGAAAATCTCATGCCAAATACAGGACAGTTCAACTAAGGCTAATACTTTTCTTCCCACTAGAAAGGGTCAATCTGTGGGGAAATGTTTAGAATAAAGAAGCGAAGGAAAGCAAATGCAACCCCCAAGCTAGTTTCTGAGAATTAAACAGCATCAAAATCATTCTTCCTCATGCAGATAAAAAAGGAGAAAGAAAAAAAAATTAATAACTGTTAATTTCAACTTTGAAGGTTTCCTTAATTCAAGGAGCAACGCAGCGGACCACTGAAGATGGTTTTCAAGCGTCTGCTTTTAGTTTTAACCATCGTAAAACAGAGAAAAGGCAAAGAATCAAGAAACCAGCATCTCTAGTGTAAATTATATTATTAGTAATCTGTCAATTTAAATAAGCTTTAGTGTGGTTAACATTTGAAAGGTGCAAAAAGAATCAGTTGCCATTGTTTCTTAAAATTCATACCAAATCATAGCCCATTGAAATTAAGCAAGCTCTGAAATCATCGTGGTCCATCAATCCATTCTTCCTCTATCGACCACAACAACGTAAGGAACATAGAAGGGAAGGTTTGAAGAATCCAAGGCAATTTCCAGAGAGATGATGAGTTTAGACCATTGGCACAGTGGATCCAGTGTACAAACAGTATTCATTGATATTACACACAGGAAACGGACATTTTCACCACCAGAAGTAACATCAGGGAAGGTCAGGGGAGAGATAAGGGAGAAGGGGAGGAGACCGAGACAAAGAATACAGAGAACACAGAGAAGACAAAGAGAAGGGCAAGGAGAAAAGTTTGTTACTGGACTAGCCAAACCCCGGAGGTGCTCAAGCTGCCTCCCTGATAACAGACGTCTTTGAAAGGTTCTGCACGGGATGCTGTAGCGGCTAAAAGGATAGCTGAAACCAGTCTGAAAATAGTGTATCACGCACTCCACTGCAAGGCTCAGGTAGGCACACTGAGAGCTGTTTGCTGACCTACGGGCAATAGGTGCGGGGGTTTTCCCTCTGACTGCAGGCTGTCAAGAGCCCCTGGCCTACAGCCGAGAGAGATGCAGACTGGCTTAAAGCATGAGACTTGCAAGGCTTAGGAGGAGGTTGCTCATTTTCCAGGCAATAACATATATGTGGCATT